TCTGTTTGCTCTGCAGTGCTCAAGCCGCCTCTCCCAGGCAGACCAACGGGGAGAGCTCCTTGGAGGTGCTGGCGACTCGCTTCCAGGTGAGCTGGTGGTGCCTTCCAGCTGGGAGACGGGCACCCTGCCCACCCTGGTGTGCACGGCAGGCCAGCCCAGTTCTTCCTGCTGCTCCTCTCTCCATAGGGCTCCTTGAGGACGCACAGTGACAGCCAGTTCCCCCTGAGGTCTTCCTACTCCAGCCCAGCCTCCCCCAGCCCCTTCTCTACCCCGCCCCCTGACAGCCCGCAGGCCCTGGCGGGAGAGGCGGCCATCAGCCACAGGTGAGTGCAGCCCGCAGGCACCCTGGCCGCCTGTGCAGGGTCTCGGGAGCTACGTTTAGGGGCGCAGGGCAGGCTGGGTGTGGCCCTGGCACACACTGTCCCTTCCCCCATTTCAGTGTCCAGAGTCTGGCATACTCCCCGGGGCTCACCGCTGCTGACCGCCTGTCCTGCGGGGGTCACCTCAGAAGCCGACAGGTGAGGCCACCTGGGGGAAGCAGAAGAGGCCCCTTCGCTGGTGCCGGTGCCCCTGGGGCTGCAGGTGGCCGGTCCAGCCTGGACAGTCAGTGCCTCCTTCTCTTAGTGACAGACGTTCCTCTGCCTGGCTAGGTGGCCCGCCCACCTCCTGCCCTCCTCCTCGCCACCACCCCCTTCCCCCACGGCCCTCTCCTCCCGGCTTGCTGGCTTCCTCCCTTCCCCGAGTGTTTCTCTTGGGCCAAGGCTGAAATAGTTTCGCTGCTGTTGTTGGGATGCTTCCCTTTCGGGGCTGGCTGCATCACTCGAACACATTCCTCCCCGTTCCAAGCCTGTGCCTGCCCCGGCTCCCACCCCAGCCCCCTCTCCTCCTCTGACTCAGCTCAGAGATCCCCGTGGGACTGTGGTTCTGTGTCCAGCTGCACTCGGCTCATCCTCCGTCTCCCCCTCCCTTCCCCCCAGGTCCCACTGGCCACTGATGGCAGCCTGACCCCCCACCCTGGGTGGTATCTCTCCTCTCCAAGGGCAGGGGGGGGGCAGTGAGGGAGAGAGGGGCGGCCAGCAGTCCTGACTACAGCTGCTGGGGGCAGCGCAGGGGGGAGGCATGTCCAGCCTTTGGGGTGAAGGGGACGGGGCCCAGCTGCTGGAACCCTACTTCAGGGTTGATTCTGCGTTCCAGGAAGCAGAGCCTTTGGGGACGCGGGGGAAGGGTGCTTGAAACGGGGGGCCCTGGAGAAGGAAGGAGCAGGACCCTCCAGAGGCTGCCCAGGAGGGGCCCCCTGGGGACCCACTGTGTGCCCACCCAAGGGCCAGCCCAGCACCTCGGCCCTGGAGACTGGCTCCCGCGCGCCCCTTCTCTGAGGAATGTGGGATGTAGTTGTGGAGATCAGGCGAACATGCAGAGCAGCGTTGGACCGCTTAGGCACCAGCAGTGTGCTACTGATTAGGAAGTGGGAGGCGTTCTGGGAGGGGGCGGCGGGGCCACAGAAGGCCGTATCAGGAATCTTGCTGGACATGGAGGTGGGAGCAGGCAGGGTTGGAGAGTGATGGGGGACACTGGACACTGGTTGGGGGAAGGTAGTGGTACAGGCAGAACCCGCAGAATGGTGGGGGGGCGCTTTCCAGGGGGGCTTTGTTCTGCCACAAGCCAGAAAGTGCTGAGCCGGGGGATGGAGAGGGGGTCAGCCCCGGCTCCCTCAGCTGAGCTCCTGGGGGCCGTGGACTCAGCAGGTGGGCCTGCGGGGGGATGCAGGAGGTACAGGAGCGTGGTTTTCACGCCAGCAGTGACACCCGAAGACTTGTAGAAATGCAGCTTCTCAGGCCCCAGCCCAGACCTTCTGACGTGGACCCAGGGGTGTGGGGCAGCGGTCTGCGTTAACGAGCCCTCATGGGGGACACGGAGGTGCCCAGGGCTGGGTGGCAGGGAGCCTGGGTCAGTTCCACCTCGCCATGTGGCCTTGGACGAGCCCACCTTCCTCTCTTCGGGCCTCAGGTCAGACGAGATGCTCCGGGCTCCCTTCTGGACCCGGAGGGCTCTGGTCCTTCCTTCGGCAAATGTGTGTCCAGCAGCTGCTTCCCGTCAGACACGCTTCTAGGCTCTGGGGATTCATTAGTGGAAAAACGGAGCGACACTGCTGACCCTGCAGAGCCGACGTTCTGGTCTACAAACCTACAAACGAGGCTGTGGCCCGCCCAACGGGTGCCGGAGTCTCGGGGTCCCATAGCTCCCTGTCGAGAGTCGCTGTGCACTTTAGCATCTGAATGACTCTAAGAAACCCACTCGATTTTATTAATTTCCTAAACGTTCTCAGCAGCAGAACTTCCTGCCTCCCCACCCCCACCACTCACTCCCGAACGTCTTCGTGTTCCCCAGCTACACGCAAGCCCTTGAAGGGCAGGTGACGGGCAGCAGCTTTCCTGGGCTTGGAGGTAGAGGGTCCCTGCTTTGAAGGCAGGGGCCTAGCGCCTGGGGGGAAAGAGAAGGCAGGGCATCTCCAGGTGAGAGCTGGGCGGGCGCCTCCTGCCCTGGGCCTGGTGGTCTGGCAGGCGCTTGCCGGAGGAAGGGCTGGGGGCTAGGGGCAGAGGTGCCACGGCCTCGCAGCTGGTCGAGGCTGCAGAGAGCCCAGGGTGTAGGACACCACCAGCCCTTATGGTGCCTTTCTGGAAACTACACGTTTCCCCCTCCTGGTGGGCGCATGCCTTGGTGAGCAGATGCCAAGCGGACAAAGCGCCTCTCCCTCTGGCTGGGAATGAGGACTCGGCTCGTGCGGGGCGCACGCCGGCCTGTCCGGAGATGTGACTTGGCTCTTGAGTGCCTGAGGAAACCATCTCACGGTCCCTCAGTTGACCACACAGCACCAGCCGGCCAGCCAGGAGCCCGGGCATGGAGTCCCGGGCGCACCTCTCATGCCCCCGGGAGCTTGGACCAGCCACTTTGCCTGTCTGACGGGCAGCCTCGTCACCTGCAGAGCCCCAGGAGCAGAGAAATGTGACCTGCCGGGAGAGGCCTGGCCGGGTGGAGTCTAGGGCTGTCTTCTCAAGACTCTGAAGTTTTTGCTTTCAGCTTAAGGAGTCATATAATTTGTTTTCATTTGACCCGTTAATTCATCTGTGACTTTGAATTTTAAGATCTAGAGAAGTTGGCTTCCCAGGAGACTGTGCCCTCTGGCCTGGCACCAGCCTGCCGGGTCATACCTTGGGGGGGCTGTGCTGCCAGGTGCAGGCCCAGGCTGGGCTTGGCCCCCCCCAAAGTGCCATGAGCAGGATCGGGCCTCCCAGGGAAGTGGGAGAGGCTGGCCAGCCCATCCCGGCGCTCTCAGGAGAGGGACAGCATGTGTGGGGGACAGAGGGCCTCTGCCCAGGCCCGGCCCTGGCGTTGAGGGGGCCGCGAGCCCTTTGTGCCACCCCTGTCTGTGTCCACCTCCTCACTACAAGAGAGGGGCCCGCTTCCTACCCGCCTGCTCTGGCGGCTGTGCGGGCCCCAGCTGCACCGTCTTTGAAAACATGTAGTGTGATGTAACAGACAGGAATCTGCACGAGGGAATGTCTGTGCTCTGCCTGCTGTCACCTGGTGTCTTCATTCTGCCCCTCGCCTGGCCCCAAACCTCCACAGCCCGCACGGGCCCCCTCCCCTCCTGGAACGTGGCACCGCCTGCGCCCTGGCTCCCAGGGCAGGGTCGGGTGACGGCCACTCGCAGGGGGCCGTGGTCAGCGCGGGCTGGGAGCCCTCTGGTGTTGGGCCTGGGAACAGCGGGGCCTGGCGCCCCACAGTGTTGGCCGGAGGCCCCGGCCCTGACTCCTCCCGGTCTCCCGCAGGCCGGCCTCGGCCGCGCTGGCGACTCTGCCGTGCTGGTGCTGCCGCCTTCCCCGGGCGCCCGCTCCTCCAGCCCCAGGCTCAGGTACCAGCAGGCCCTGGGGGGGCACAGGGAGGGTCCTGGAGGGCCTAGGAGGGACAGGAGGGAGACTGTCCTCCCCAGGGGGACGGGGACCCCCTCTAAGCCTAGTCAGCTTTCCTCCCAGAACGCTCCCCCCATGCACTTGTCCTAACGCTGGGAGTGGGACTGGGCGTGGGACCCTCATTCCTGGCTGCCTCCCTCCCGCAGTGTGGACTCGGAAGCGGGAAGCCACCTTCTGGACGAGGACTCAGAAGTCTTCAAGATGCTGCAGGAAAATCGAGAGGGGCGGGTGGCCCCCCGGCAGTCCAGCTCCTTCCGGCTCTTGCAGGAAGCCTTGGAGGCTGAGGAGAGAGGTGGGCCTGGGGCTCGGGGAGGGCAGGGGTCCCCCGGACAGCCGGGCCCTGGCTGGGAGGTCGAGGTACTAGTGTGTCTTCAGTGCCCACCATGGGGCCAGGCGCCAGTCCCTGCATGTGACAGTCTGGCAGGGGTCACCTGCTGTGTACCGGGGAGGTAGCAGGATCAGGAAAGTGCCAAGGGAATGACAAGGTGGGCAGCAGGGCCCATGGGTCTGAGTCTCCAGGGAGGGCTTCTTGGCGGGCAAGGAATCTGACTCAGCTGCCAGAAAGCCAGAAAAAATATCAAGACTTAAATGGCCTTGAGATGGTGGCAGCAGGCCTAGTAGCACGGAGGGTGGCAGTGGAGGCCGGGTCTGTGGGAAAGGGGGTTGGGAACCAGGCCGTGGCGCACCCTGACCTGGGAGAACCGGTTCAATGATGACCCCAGGCGGCTTCCAAACAAGCCATGCAGACCATAGGGGTTCTTGCTAGTGGTCGGTTATTCATTTGACAAACACTGACTGTCCGATGGGCCAGGTGTGTGCAGAGTGTGGGAATCAGAGGTGGTTGTTACCCAGCGTCCCCCTTGATGTTGGGTCTACTGGGGCAGACGGGTGTGGCCAGCTCCCAAAGCACTCAGGATGAATGTCCTTTAGAGCAGCAGGGAGAGGTCGCTGCCCTGTCCAGGGAGGTGACGGGACAGGCAGGAGAGGTATTTGAGAGGCAGAGTGACCAGTGGCCGTGGCTGGTTCCAGCTCTGAGGTTTAGCTCCAAGGGGCATTTGGGGAGGCTTGGCGGAGGGGCGGAGGTGAGAAGGCTTGGAGCAAATCTTGCCCATAATGACCCCAAGGCCCGGCAGGCGCCAGGAGGCAGGCACAGGGCAGTGCAGACAGTGACTGGCCAGGGGACCCTCAGCGTCCTCAGCTGCAAACAGGATCAGCAGCCGCCCAGGAACTCTGTGCTTAGTGTTGTGCCACGTCTCAGATGCCATGATGCATGTAAAAGCCCTTTGAAAACTGTATAAAGGCCATGGTGCTGCTCTGATCTGGGATTATTATCCACTCACATCCTCATTACTGGATCCCAAGACAGGGAACGCCCGCTTCCCTGGCGTGGCAGACACCAAGCACGGGTGGCCCCAGGTTGCCTTAGAAGGGCAAACCTGGCCTTGGGTCTGCCTCCTTCATGCCGGTGACCAGCCTCAGCCACGGGTCTGGCAGGATCACCCTCCTTCCTTCCCACCTGCTCTCACGCTCGGTGTGACTTCAGAGGTCCGCCTGTAAAGGTGCCTCCTACAGCCACCTTCTTGGGGCAGCTTTGGAAGGAGCTGGGTTGCTGCTGGGGGTGGCCATGCCCTCATGTGCCTGTCTGCCCCCACCCCAGGTGGCCCTCCTGCCTCCCTGCCCAGCTCACTGAGCCCTCAGTCCTCCCTGCCCGCCTCCAGGGCGCTGGCCACCCCTCCCAAGCTCCACACCTGCGAGAAGTGCGGAACCAGCATCGCGTGAGTGTGGGGTGCCGGGGGGTGGGGTGGGCAAGGGGCGCCGGTTGTGCTCAGGAAGGTCTGGGCCCGCCAGGGACCCGGGAGAAGGCACTACCGCTGCTGCCCTGGTGGCTTTGGGGTGGGTTATTTGCAGCCTGCTTGGAATGCCTGGGCTGGCTTCTTCCGGCCACATCGCCGCCTCCTTCCCCGCCCTCTGATAATCTCAAAGCCTCGGGAGATCTGGCTCTGGACGGGGCTCCTCCTCCTGCAAAATCTTGCGCTGCCCCCTCCCTCACCCTGTGGAACAGGCAGGATTTTCCCCAAGTAGGTTTGTGCCTCTCCGTGGGTGGCATTATAATGCAACCGCGTCCCTTGGAAGATTGCTGAGCTGTCCCTCCCAGGCAGATTTCTTAAGTGCTCCGTGTGCAGGGTCAGGTGACTGACTTTAGGCAAATTCCTCAACCTCCCGGGCTCCGCTTTTCCTCTGCAGAATGGGACAGCCTCCAACCCCCTATGCACAGACAAGAAAAGCATGTTGAAAAAGTGTTTTATGTCGCGGTTCTCAAAGGAGTCTGAGTCCCTGGAGGGCGTGGGGCTGCCGCAGTGTCCCCTCTGAGGTCGGCAGGCCTGAGAAGCTGGGTTTCGGACTCGTTCCCAGTCCCGACTGCTGGTCCTGGGACCCGGGACCACACGTTAGGAACCAGTGCTCACTAAAAATCCAGAAAACCGGGGACAGGTTTTCAGTCTGTGTCAGGGAGCAGCGACTTCTTCTCTCTTTCCTGGCGGTGGGTGCGAGTGTGTCTCGGGGGTGGTCCAGGTGAGGTTCCCGAGGGCAAGCTTGGAGAGTTTCGTCTCTGAGAAGGTTCTGGCTTCCTCCCAGCTCCTGACACGAGGGTGGGGACCTCACGCTGGGTGCTGACACCTCCCCGGTCCCGCAGGAACCAGGCCGTGCGCATCCAGGAGGGCCGGTACCGCCACCCGGGCTGCTACACCTGTGCGGACTGCGGGCTGAACCTGAAGATGCGCGGCCACTTCTGGGTGGGGGACGAGCTGTACTGCGAGAAGCACGCCCGCCAGCGCTACTCGGCGCTGCCCACCCTCGGCTCGCGGGCCTGAGGCCCCCCCCGCCTCCCCTCTGCAGCCACCCGGCCAGGGCCGTGCCAGTAGCAAGTTGGGTGGCAGGGGTGACGGTGGGCAGTGGTTCTTCCGTGAACTAAATTCGGGGGCCTGAGGCCTCTCCGTCCTCGCTGGGTGAGGACAGGTCTGGGACCTGTCTCGGGCTGCCATGCCGAGGGCAGCCTCACCTTCCCCGGCCTCTCCCCTGGTCCTGTGCCAGGCGGAGGTGACCACGGCGTTTGATGTCTCTGTGTACCTTGGGGCTGAGCAGGGTGGGACACAGAAGTATCTAGAAGAAGAGAGGTGGGCCAGAGACAAACTGTATTCACTATGTAAAGTTTTCGACATGTGAGCTCTATAAATATATAAATGTGGACAAAATAAAGTAGATTCCCCCTTTCCTCTCCCCTCCCCCAGCCCTTGAGTGTGAGCTCTCCCTTCCACTGGGTGGAGAGTCCGTGTTTCCGCCCCTTAAAGTCCCCCCTCCCCACCGGGTGCCCCCTACCTGGCATTCCCATGGAGAAGGCTTTAGGTGGGTCGTGTTCCTCCTTGACCCCTTCGGAAGGATGCCTCGTGCTTTGGAGGGACCGCAGTTCTCACTGTGAGCCTGGGGAGGAGAAGGGAGGCTGGAGGGAGGCCCAGAGACCTCCCCAGGCTGGGCTGGGCCCGGCTGTCTCTGCAGCCCTCATGCTACCTGGCGCAGACACCACCAGCCCTGATGGGCACAGACGAGGCCGTGGGGATGGGGCACGCAAGGGAGGAGGGTTTGAGTCGAGGTGGGGGCAGTGGTCCTCTACCAGCCCACGATTTTTGGCCTGATTCACCAACCACTCCTAGCCCTGATCCCAGAGGACATGTCAGAAGGTCCCCACAGGTGCTGCTGGGTGCTCCAGACCTGGCCTCCCCGCAGCGAGCCCGGGGATGGGCGGCAGTCTCCGCTCTGTTTTCACAGAGAAGATCAAAGCTGGGCTTCCGAGGTGGCCTTGGCGGTCTCCACCGGCGGCTCTGTGCAATCTGGCCCTTGTTGGAAGGAATCTTGGCAAAGACTGTGTTGCCTCCTCAGGCACCTGTTGATATAATTTACACCTTGGTATAATTGTCTCGCCTTTTGCCTGGATGACTGCCTGAGGACGGGCCTTTATTTTTATAGAAAAGATCAGGGCTGGCTTGGCCGGCCCGGAATCTGTCAGCCAGCGCCAGTCAGCAGCGGGGAGCCTCTGTGGCGCCACCTAGTGTTCGGTACGGCGCACGGCAGAGGATGCTCGCAAAAGAAATTCAGTTCGCCGGTGAATGCCTGGGTTCTCGGCACCGTGGGATTGCAGAAAGATCTGGCACTTCCTTGCTTTCCTGGAGATAAAAGGCAAGTGGCAGCGATCGAGCCGGCATGAATGAAACAGCGCCGTGTGGCAGCGAGTGCCCAGCGAGCTGAGAGCAGTGGCCGTCTGCGCGGAAGGGTGCCCGGGTCTTGGACCGGCGGAGGAGAGGAGTGCTGCGCGGTGGGTGGCTGCAGGTGGGACGCTCGGTTCACAGCGGTGGCTGGCGGGGTGCTCCGATGAGATTGGAAGGGGGCGGGAATGCTAGCCTCGTTCTGGGGACGCTTGGGAAATTTTAAGCAGGTAGGTGGCAAGTTGGAAAAGGTGGGCTGAACTATTGGTGTGGTCAGATCCCGGCCTGTGACAGGCCATGCTGGCAGCAGTGTCCTAAGAAGTGGAGGACAAGTGGTGACGGGGACGCTTGGGAAGTGGTCATGCAGTGAGCTGCTGAACGCCTTCCAAAGGCGGAACAGCTTCAGGTGCAAATCCACCTGTGGCCTGTGTTTTTTGGTTTTTTCCCCCCATTTATTTTTTATTCGTATACGTTTGTGGGGTACAAGGGCAACTTTGCTACAATTGTACGTGCCAAGCAACCTCCCATCGTCCACCCGCACCCACCTGCCCTTGTCCTTCAGTCGTGGCCTCCGGCTCTCCCCCAGGGGGCCAGAGGGTTTCCGCACCAAGTTCTGTGCGCCACACAGCTAGCCCGAGCTCAATCTCGGACACGAGCTCCTCTGGAAATGAAGTTATTAGTCAAACCGGTTTATCAGCAGAGAAGGCCGAGGGCAGCCATTAGTCTCTCACCCCCACCTCTTCCCCACCCCAGGCCAGCTGGCCGCAAGCACCCACCCCTCCGCCCAGACGCTCACTGGTGCCCTGTACTGTGTCTGGTGCGGCACCCTCCTCACTCCTTTCTGCATTTCGGGAAATAACTTCAGAAGTGACAGATTTGCATTAGAAGTAGCCTGAGAGAGCATCGAATACAACCCCAAGCCCGTGTGGTTAGAGATGGGAAAGCAGCTTTTCCAAAGTGACACAGTGGGATAATAATGGCTAACACTTAGGAGCACCTTTTGATGTGCTAGGGACCTCTTAAATGCTTTAGCTCACCCCTCACAACTCTGGGATAGGTACTATTGTCATCCTTGTTCTGTGGACGAACAAACTGGGCACGGGGAAGTGAAGTTTCTGGTCCCAGGACTCCTGGCTAGTAAGAGGATGGCCGGAGAATGGAACCAGGGGTCCTGGGTTTCTGGCTTATAGCAGGCGGGGGCGCTCCTGCCCCTCTGTCGCCAGAGGCAGCCTTCCAGGGACAGCTCCAGCCACCTGGCGACAACAGGAGGCCACCACAACCCCTCCTAACCCTCCCCAGGCTGGCAGGAGCTGCCTCCAGGCTTTGTCTTCCTGCCTCCGTGCCGGCTCAGGCTGCGCTTGCAGGAAACAGGCTTCCGGCGGCGGGACTTCCCCATGGCGGTGCAGGGCCGCTGGGCATCCGTGGCCTCAGCCTGAGGACGACTCTGCTCTGGCCCCCCTCTGTCTCAGGAACTCGGGGTGGCTGCTCACCTTGCCAGACGGGCAGCGGGACATGGCTGTCTGCCCTCCCATTCCTTCTGCATCACTCAGAGGGAGTGAGGCCAGTCACACAGGGCCACAGAGCCCTCTGGGAGGTGAAGGCCTGGCGGGGCTCTGGGCTTGGGGCTGCCACTCGGGAAGCACGTAGGCCCCCACCTCGAGGGTTGGGTCTCAGATGCTACAGGGCTCCTACCTTGCTGCGTGTGCATCTGCGCAGAGGGCGGGGGCCGTGGCCTGGCCGGAGTGTGTGCTGTGTGTGCTGGGGTGGGTGTGTGTGTGTGTTTGGGGGGGTTCTTTTGAGTCACACACAAAGCGTTGTGCTGAGACACCGCATTCCTGCTGGCTGGGCTTCCTGTTTCCAGATGCATTCCTGCCCCAGAGTCACCACGGAGACTGCTTGGAATCCGCCCCACATTCTCCAAATTCAGGGCGCGATTGGCAAAGGCTCCCTCCTCTTCACCTCCCCATGCTTTCACCTTGGAGGGAGGAAGCCACCTGATCAGCCTGCCCTCCTGCCCTGGCAGTGCCGGCCTGGGGGCTGGCAGGGCTGGGGGGTTTGCTGCCACATAGCCCCTTGGACTTGCTTAAGGGAGTCCCTGCCAGGCCCCGCACTCCAGAGTTCCCTCTCTGGGGGGTGCTGGTGGGGAGAGAGAAAGTGTCCAGGAGGATGGGGCCCAGAGGGGCAACCCAGGGGACCGATGGCTAGCAGGGAAGGGCTGGGACCTAAGCATCAGGGTGTTGAGACGTGGTGGGCAAGTCAGGCACTTGGCTCTCATTCTGCCCGCCCAGGGCTTGGCTGTGGGCCTCAGTTTCCCTAGCTTGTAAAGTTATAAAATCTGAGAGTTGGTGTCTCTCTGACGAAGGCTCCTGTGGATGGTGTTTGAGGGCGGGAGGGAGCAGGGAGCAGAGGGGGTGGGCAGACTGTGTTCTCCCTCCCAGTTAAAAACCACTTCCTTCCAGTGGCGGGGCTCCGGCCCCTCCCCCAGAGGCCCAGGTGCAAGCTTGCACGTCCCCAGCTCCCTTATCTGCCTCCAGGGAATTTGGGTCCCGCTGGGATTTTTTCCAGCCCTAACCCCCACCCTCAGGAGGAGGAGGAGGAGGAGGCTTCTTCCTCCAGCCCTGTCTGGTCACCGGGCTGTCTCACCTCCTTTAAGGATGGGGAGTGGGTGGTGGTATCCCACCGGCCAAAAGGGCGGGTGGGGACGGGGAAGCATCTACACTTTGGCCCAGTCTCGGGGCTGCTCCTGTCGACTGGCTCACGTCTCCCCAGGCCCGAAACCCTCACCCAGCCCCAGCTTTAGGGCACCCGGGATGAGGCGTGGGACGGCAGGGGTTCGGATGTAGCCAGGACACACAAGGGCCCTGCAGTTGTAGTAAGGGATTTCCCGCGGGGGCAGGAACGGAGTCCCCTTTCATCGCGCCAAGTTCCTGAGAGATTTGCCCCGAAGCCCCGGGAGCCCGCGTCCCGGTCCGCGCACTTCCCACCGCCAGCACGTGGGGCTGTTTCCTTCCGGGCTCCGTCCTGTCCTCCCCCCGCACCCGCGGGCTCCAGGCGGGCGGCAGGAAGGCAGCCCGGGCGTGTGGACCGGGTGGGGCGGGCTGCTGGCGTCCCGAGCCCGACGGCGTCCCCAGGCGGGGGCCGCGCTCCTCGCAGGACAGCGGGTTCGGGCCCTCATCCTCGCCCCAGGCAGCACTGGGGGGCGGCGGGGGTGGCCGGGCGAGGAGCGGTGGCCGCGCAGAGCACCTTGCCCCTCCTTCCCCGCCCCGCCCCCCGCCAGGAGTGTCCCGGGGCCGCGCCCAGCCGGGTAGGGACGCGCGCGCTGAGCCGCCCGAGCGGCGGGGGACGGGCCGGGAGCGGCGCGCAGGCTGCGGCGGGAGCGGGCCATGCTGGGCCGGCGGCGCGTCTTCGCCGTGGACGGCCGGGGTGAGTCGCCCGCCCCAAGGCCGGCGGGGGCCTCCTGCCCCCGGGCCGCCCCCGCGCCCGCCACCCTCCAGGGCCGAGACATTAGGCTGGGGCTTCTCGCAAGTTGGAGACCTTCTGGCTTTGGCATTAAACCAGCCATCGCCTCCATCCCTGTTCCTGTGGGTCCCCTTCCCTGTCACGCCCTGTCGCGAGCCTGCCCGCTCCCGGGGGGGATCAGCCGACTCTGCTGCCTGCGCCCTCCGTGCGCGCCCCAGGCCAGCGGGCGGTGCCAGCATCTCCAGGCCTCCCAGCGGCTGCTTGCCCAGAGGGGGCCGGATTGGCATCCGACCTCCGCCTGGCGGGCTCGGGTTCTGCACCCGAGTCACAAGGGGGCCTGGCACAGAGATGACAACGAGTGGGTGCTCGTGCTCCCCTCTTCCCTTCCTTTCACTTAAGTCGTTCCTTTTAAACTCTTCGCAAAATCTTCGCTATTTCTCACTTAAAAGGACGAAAGCCCAACGTGGCCAGAGCTGTTACTTTGATCACTCTCCCCCAGAGCGGCTTCATCTTGCATCCTGGCGC